GAGAGCTTTCGTTTGGGGTGATGGTGTCTATGACATTTCCTATGCTAGAAATTAAAACTGAAACATTAAAATTATTTATTAAGCCATTAAAATAACAGTAGTAAACTCATTACACTTAACACAACCTATTTTAATAAAACCCTCTATATTTTCCAACCCCCCCATTTAATTAGTGAGATGAATAATGTTGTTTTACATTTGTTTTTCAAATCTCTTCGCTGTCTGGCTCAGATGAAGTCAGTTCAAGTTTCATTTTGGTTTTAGCATTGGGTCTGTTGCAATATGGTATTTTGATTGAAGTGTATGAAGAAAATGTGGCCTCAGATGAGCATTTGGAAACATATTTTAAAAATATTAAAAAATACTTTAACATGGCCTTTTCAGAAAACCAGGGGTACTGTTGGTTGATACCACACTAAAATTAGACGAAATTGTAGTTTCTAAATGTAGAATCTGAAATCCTATCAATGTCCATCTTTTATCACTTTCCACTGATCTCTCTTACACGTTGAGTCTTTTTATCTCTGCATAATTTAGTAACATAATGTATTGGTCAATTGGAAACTATTGTTTACTGGGTTATATAGATAAATATATTTCATTTTACAAGACAATTTCTCATTTGTTGATGTCATTGCCCAACTTATCAGAAGTTATTGAGTACTGCAGAGCTGTCGAGCTCATAGTGGGAGGTATGAATTTTTCAAAATTCTAATTTTTACCTGGCAGCTTGTATTTTATCACTAAAAACAATACACCATTTGTTTGCCTAGATATGTCAGACTCAATTTATTTCTGAGAAATCCATGCCAAAATCCCCCGTCTAAATCACTATGGTTTTTCTCTCCGTGGTTTCCATGAAAATAACAGCAAAGTTGCTCAGCATTTAGATGGTCGCCCCAGCACTCACCATCATCCTTCCCACTCAGCAGATGCTGGGCCTCGATTGAATAAAGTTAGTAATTCTTACTCTTCAGCATGGACATTCTTTAGTGAAAGAGGCATTGTATGTGTCCGTTTTTATTGACAGTCTACAGCAGTGAGGAATGTCTCAAGCTGTGGTAAAGCTTGGCGCCTATATTAGTTACTTTTCTTGTTGCTAAGATAAAATGCCCAACGCTCAAAGTTAATGGAACAAAGGTACATCGCAGTTTGCAGTTTGCGGAGGCTTCAGTTCACGGTTGTCTGGCTTCAAGGCAGCGTAGCATGGCAGAGGGGCATCGCAGAGGAGAAGCAGTCATGGCAGGCAGAAAACAGCAAGGCAGCAAGCAGTAGGCCAAAGCAACAAGCAGCAACCTTCTTTCAGTCCCTTTTATTTTATCCAGGCTACCCACCCTTAGGGCAAGTAGCACTCTCACTCAGGGCAGGGTAGGTTGACCCTAGCTTTGAACCATGAATCAATCCAGCATCACACCCTTGATTCCAGTATCACACACCCTAGATCCAGCCCACCCCTGCAAAGGCTCACCTTTGACCACATAGACTTTAGGGGGAATCTAGGTACAAGCCATAACAGTGCCACTGCCTTGATTCACATTCAGAGCCCATAGTTTCCTCCACTGTTGCTTTATACACGCAGGAAACATCATGAAAAAGGCAAATTGTGTCGTATCATTACTGACTCAGTCGGTTTTTCTATTGCTATAACAAAATAACTAATTCTGGGTAATGGATAAAAAAGATCATTGAGCTTATTTGAAGATTGAAAGTCTCAGATTGGAGGCCCCATCAGCTCGGCCTCTGGTGCGGGCCCTCTGGCTCTATCACAGTGTGATGGTGTCATGGTCAGAGTACAAGCAGGAGGGCCCGGCTGTGTGAGCAGAAGAGGCACTCAGGGCAGGAGCTAGATGCCCTTACAACAGCCCATTCTGGTAGAAACTAACCTTGTCCCGCAAGACCTACAGTGCTCCTTTTCAAGGAGTGTGCCTCCATGATGTATGTTTTCCGCTGGGCCCCATCTCTCTTTTTTTCCCCCATCTCTTATTTTTTCTTTTCTTTTCTTTCTTTTTTTTTTTTTTGATACAGGGCCTTACTGCACAGTTTGGACCCATAGTGATCCTCCTGTCTCATCCTCCCTAGTGCTGGGATCATAGGCATGTGGCACCACATCAAGTTCTGAGACCAGCATGGCATGTGCTACTGGGGAGTGCACTCGGATCTTGTACTTGCCAGGCAGATGTTTATGCTGCTGAGCTATCTCCCAAGCCCTGGGTCCCATCTCTTGAAAGTTTCATTGCCTTAGCACTACCACACTGGCACCCAAGCTTCCAGCATGCGAACCTTTGATGGATGCACTCAGCAATGACTGTGAAACTAGTTGTTAGTTCTCTAAGCATCCAGGAACCCCAAGAGTTCCACACTTGGAAAACCAGTGGGTCAGATAAGAGTCCTGTCTTATTGTGACATCCTAATTACTCAGCATGTGCAGTTGTGACTGCCTTCACAATTGTGGTGTGCAGAGATGATGTGGACCAGCCTTCTAAAGGTGTCGCTGAAAACCTGTCCTTCTGGTCACTGTTTCCTCCTGTGGCATCTGAAGGACATTGGAGAGTGGGTTTCTGTAGAACTTTCCTTGATTTTCTGGAAGGTATTTTGTGCTTTGGCCGTATCTATCGGTTCCTCAAGAGAATGGAGTCCAAGTTTGTAAGATTTCATCAGCTTTTACCTTAATGTTGATCAGCTTTGTACTTAATGTTGAGGTATGAGGTAAGAGGCAGTGCTCCCTTATGCCACAAATGTGAGTCTCCATGGGGCTGTGACTAATGTCTTCCTTGCTCTGGGCAGGGGAGGCCCTTGGCAGCCTCTGGAGCAGGTTCACGGTGGCTAGTAATTTCCACTAGGCAAGAACACCATGAAATTTGCGCTCTTTATTTCACCCCAGGCTTCCCTTTGGCCCTAAGTTATTTCTGGAAAAGGTGAATGGTCCTGCAATTAAAACCCTGGAGAAGCTCACTGGGTTTATTTTTGTTCCTCTTCTAGAGCAGTGACAGGAATTCCCATTTCCTCAGTTAGTCATTCATAGGGATAGAGCATTGCGATCGGATCTTTGGAATCCTTTCATTTCAAAAAGCAAACAAATCTTGAATATTTATGAAGTATGGGCTGCTGACCTGGATGGGGGCGCTGTGGGCACCAGAGATGCATGAAGAACGGTGGGGTGGGGCCACATGGAAATGAAAATGGGGCAAGAAACTGGGAGCAGGACTGTTGTCGAGTGTTGTGGTGCGCCTGGCACCTTGCTAGTGCCTTATTCATCCTCACTGTGAACTTGCCGGAAGTATGTACTACAGGTTCCTCATTCGCTTTTGGACCAGATGTGTTTTGGAAGTACTTGGACGTCAGCATATAAGTAGAGTACATAAACCATGTAATGCATGTAGCAGGGTTTGTAGTGATCTCCAGGAAGCAAAAACCATAAACATGAGACTATTCATACTTTATAAGGACTAGAAGCAACCTCAGCACAGTTGAAGAGGATTTGTCACAGAAGTCTGAAAGAAACATTTTTTTCCCAGGTTTTGGGGTTTAGGAATGGCAGGTAGCAGATGGTGAACTGGTTCCACTACCAGCTGAGGGGCAGAGAAAGTCAATAGCTGGCACAGATGACCCAACCAGTAGGGAGGCAGGACTTAGCAACTGGATCAGGGCTTCACCTGAAACCTGTACCTGCCCTGGGGTATGTCGTGAGAAGCTGTGGGTGCTGCGGGCTTTGTGTGGGCGCATATCAGCCAGCGCACCACAGTGAACGACTCCTCGCAAAATAGGTAGGATTTTAAGGGAAAGAGTTGGGGATGAGGACAGACACTCCTGGGAGGGGCCACCCTGGGCAAGTGTGTGGGATATTGCCCAGCTTTCCCAGGAGGGGAGCCTTACAATTTTTGTCCTGGCCCACACAGGGTTCTCTACGCAAACGCTCTCTGAGACGGTCCCTGGCCTCCAGCAGCAAGGCTCCACCCCAAGAGGAGAGCCCCATGGTGCCTGACCTCCCCGGGGGCACTCCAGCACACCCAGCCCCACAAGAGATCCCTGCTTCCGACAATGGCTCCATCTTCAGGAGCCCCCTGAGCCCGCCTAGTGAGCCATCTGAGGAAAAGCAGAAAACCAGCCCCAGCAGCCCTTCCCACTTGCCCAGAAAAGGACTGTCCCCACGAGACAGAGGGGCACCCAGAGGTCTGTTCGAGAATGAGTCAGCAGTGGATGGCCACTCAGAAGTGGAAAGGACACCCTCAAAGTTGTACTTTCCTGGTGGGAATCCCAGGGTGACCCAGGAGAGGCTGGAAAGAACTTTCAAGCATCAGGGAAGCCAGCCCTCACCTCCCAGGTAAGCATGCTAAGGTCATTGTCTGTCACACCTTGCACATGTGTCCAGGCCTTAGTCACTCCTTGGTCTCTCATGGCAAGCCTATGGAGCAGGGATGACTGGGGTCAACCAGGAAGAGAACTGAGCCCTGAGTTCACACATCCCTAGGTCTCACACACTTCTTTCCACAGCTGACAAAGGCGTGAGTAGATGGTCCTAAAGCATATCTGCAGCCACACGGCCTGGCTGGCATTGCAACACGTTTCCTGTGTTTCTAGATACCATGGTGAGTGAGCTCTGACAGAGATCTTTTTTTGTTTCCATAATTTTTTTGAGAAACAAATAGCAATGAGATAGTTTCAAACCAAATTGGTAGGACAGTTTCAATAATTAACACATTGCATACATTCTTCCTAGTGATTAATTTCTGTTCAAGATGCGGACATGATATCCTATTTACAAACACTATTAGAACAAATCCCTCCATTCATTAAGAGAATGTAACTATATATCTATCCTAACCACTTTGAATAAACAAATACAAAATGGACATTCATCTGTATACCCTTTTTTGTTTAGTTCCGTTATTTGAATATTATAGGTGTGTTAACTCAGCAAAATATTCTAAGAGTCCAGTAGTCCATAATAGTATTGGGTCTTCCACTTCACTGGCAATGTCTGACAGAGATCTTTCCACCATTATTTTTTATTTCTTTTGCCTTTTTCTCTTATTCTTTCATAATAGATCTGGATAATTCCTATGCTAATTGATTTCAATGTAGAATCAACCTTATACTTTGGAATAAACCCCATTTGGCTATGATAGCTTAGTTTTCTGTGTATCATTGAATCTATTAATATTTTATGTAGGAATTTTGTGCCTAAGTCCACAAATTGGGTGTCTAATTTTCTATCTTTCACCACACTTGTCAGGATCCGGCCCCATATTATGCGGATCAGCGTAAGATTGGTCCCGCTGCTTCCTTAAAACCTGTTTACTGGGGAAAACTTCTGAGAGATTTTAAACTATGCATTCAATTAAAAATTGTTTAAACTAGGGTCCAGGGATATAGCTCAGTGGCATAAGTGCCTGCCTGGTAAGCCTAAGTACCTGAGTTTGATCCCTGGTACAAAAACAAAAATTGTTTAAACTCAAATTTTTTATTCTTGTTTTGGCTAGTCATATTTTTTTCAAGGAATTTGACAGTTTTATCTATATCTTAAATTCATTAATATAAAATTACGTATTACAACTATCAAATTTGTAAGATTAACGAGGATATCTCTGTGTTGTTACTGTCATCTTACTAGGAGTTTATCAATTATGTAGTATTTTTAAAGAATCACTTTTTTGGCTTTATATGTTTATTTTCTATTGCATCAATTTTGATTCATTTATTCCTTTTTACTTTCTTTGTTCAATGTGCTATTATTCTCCAGTTTATTAATAGGGATCTTTAATAACAGATTCCCAATCTTTTTATTCTGTCATATTTTTACGTCTATAAACTTCCTTCTAAATAACACTTTCTGTGTATTCTACAAGTTAATATGCTGTATATACCTAGAATTTAGTTAAAATTGTTCATCACTCCTATTATGAATTCTTTTTTGATTGATGGTGTATTTAGATAAATATTAATTCAAAGTATTTGGTAGTATTTTCCTGGCTGCTATTTTGGTTTTGATTTGTAGCTTATTTCTACTCTGGTTATACTAAGTACAATCTAAAACTGGTGAATATTTAAATAAAAAATTATTATAAATTAAATATAAAATTGCATGAATCCCCCTTAAAATATGCCCTCTTGCTTTGAACACACGTATCTCATTGCTTCTGCTGCTTTGGGGAGCAGCTCTGGAAGTCCTCCTTTCTGAGTGTTAGAAATCATGGCTGCCTCAATGTCTTGAATTGACTCAAAACATTTACCTTTCATGATCATTTGGACTTGGGAGAGCAGGCAGAAGTCTGCTGGCGTGAGATCCTGTGAGTGAGGCAGGTAATGATCCCAGAATACCTCTGTGAGCCTGCATTTCCCTGGGCTCACTGTAGGCAGCAGGAGTAAGCTTTGTTTTCATTATGAGAAAGACTTCTACACCTGCTTCAGAAAGTGGCAAGAATGATAGGGGAAGTATGTTTGAAGGAAGGGACTACTTTGATGAATGGTAATGTCTTTTACTGTAATATATTTAAAAATTTAATCATTCATTGTATATTTCAATCACACTGTGTGTGGGGAGGTTGAGGGGTGTGTGTACTCTTTTCTTCCTTGAGATGCGGTCTTACTAGGATATGTTGCCCGGGTCGGTCTTGCACTGCTGAGGTCTGTCATCTTCTTGTTACTGGCAAATGCCACTGTACTGGCCTATGCTCTTTATTGTATCATTTTGCTGAATTGAAGAGTCTTGTGGTGCAGTCTATATTTACATCTTATGAGCAGTATATATTTTAAGTTTAAATCCATTGTGATAATGATTTTATTGGAATGATTATTACATTTACAAAGAACTGTCTTTAGTATTTTTTTGTGAGGTGCATTTCTTTTTAAACCAGTTTTTGTTTGGAAATGCCTCCATTTCACCTCTATTTTTGAAGGTAATTTTATCCTTTTGTAGGGAATTTTTATATTTTCTCTTTTGTTGTTGTTGTATTTGGTATAAGATCTTACTACACAGCTTGGATTTATAGTGATCCTCCTCTTTTCAGCCTCCCCAGCACTGGGATTACAGGTGTGCGCCACCACACCTGGCTTCCGTGGCCCGCTCAGCACACGTGGGGGTGGGGCCAGCACGGCATGTGGTGTAGGAGATAGAATCTGGTCCTTGTGCTTTCTAAGCAGACCCTGAGTCTGCTGAGATATCTTGCTGGCCCTGAAGGTAATTTTAATGAGTATAGAATTATTGATGGGTGTTTTGTTGGCTTAACCCTTTAGACATGTCATTCCACTGCTTTAGGGTTTCATTATGACTATTATGTCAGACCATAGTTGTATTTTTGTTTTGAAAGCAGTGTATACACTTTCTTAAGCCTTTGCATGCTCCCTCACCCCAGTTTTTTTTAATTGCTTTAAATTAATTTATTTATTTGGTACAGGGTCTTGCTATGCAGTTCGGACTCATAGTGATCTTCCTGTCTCAGCCTTCTCAGTGCTGGGACTACAGGAGTGTGCACCCAGTTTGGGGGCCAGATTGGTGCACCCAGGTTCAAAGACTAGCACGGTATGTGGTACTGGGATGGAGCCCCGGTACTTGAGCTTTTCAGACAGATGCTTATACTGCTGAGCTATTTCCCCAGCCAGTTTACCCCAGCATTTTCAAAGATGTTTCTGCTTTCTTTGCTTTCCAGTGGTTTAACTATGAAGTGCCCACGTGTGGTTTTCTTAGATGATTCTGCTTGGGGTACATACAGCTTCTTGAAGCCATGGGTTTTCAAAAACTATTGTCCATTAACATTATCTTTTTATTTATTTATTTTTCCGGTACTGGGGATTGAACTCAGGACCCTGTGCTTGCCAGGCAAGCATTTGTTCTACTGAGCTATCTCCCTGGCCCAACATTATCTTTTTAAATATTGCTTTTGTTCCATCTTACCTTTCTTCCCCTGACACTCTAGTTACATTGGTAACACATCTTTTCACTCTGTTTGAATCCTGTAGTTTTATAACACACTTTCCCATTTTTCTCCCCACACTTCCAGTTGGGATATTTTCTCTTGCTCTATCTTCCAGTGCATAGTTCTTCTCTTCTATCATGCCTGATGTGCTGTTAAGCTTGTTTCATGACTTCTTAATTTGAATTATTTAATTTTCCATTGTAAATTTTATTTATTTATTTTTTATGTATTTAGTACAATGTCAACAGGGTCTCACTACACAGATCAGATTCATCATGATTCTCCTGTCTTCAGCCTCCCAAACACTGGGATTACAGCCGCTTGCCACCATGCCCAGTCTCAATCGCAGTCTCAGTGCACCCCACAGGCAGGGCTGCCACAGCAGGCCCGGGATTGAACCCCCCTGCCCCTGCCCCCCCCCATCTGTGCATCTGCCTAAGCAAGCGCTTTAATCTGCTGAGCTATCTGGCCAGCCCTTGTAAATTTTAATTTTTACAAATAGATTCCAGTTCTTTTTGAAATTGTCTTTTACCTTTATTTTCTTGCGCACAGTGTGTTCACTATCATTCTGAAGTCTCCATCTAGTAATTCCAGTGTCTGGAGCACTGAGGGCCTGCTGCTGTTGGCTTTTATTTTTAGTTTTGATCATTTTGTCCTACTTCTCTGCATTCCTGGTAATTCTGACCGAAAGTAGGCATTATGTGTGGATAATTGCATGGGCCTCCTTCGAAAGGGAATTTAATTTCCTTTCAGCAGATACTGATTTCTTGTTGGTTTTAGACTTTGTAAAATACCCCTTCTCATTCTGTTATTTGTCTACAACTTTCTCATGTCTTTTGTTGCATGTGAACTCTTCATTTTGGCATAACCAATCTCTCTTTTGGCATGTGATTTAATTGTATTTGTGATTTAAATTTTTAAGGGTTTCTCTATTATGTTTTTTCATGATTTTAGTTTTCAATGACATTTTCTTCTTTTTTCTATTAACTCATTATTGTATCTACTTTTCTAGGGCAAACTTTTCCTTACATTGAAGGGAAAAGCAAGACTCAGTCAAACTAGGTGCTAACAGATTTCAACTCCATGAAATCTTCACATTTCATGGAGTTATAATCTCAACTTTCACATTTATGTATTTAATCTTTTGTATCTGTTGAGATGAATACATCCACATTTAGTTTTTCTCTTTGAGTAATAAGGCAGCTTTCCTGGCACCATCTGCAGTCTGTTCTTTCCCTATTGATTTGCAAAATCATTTTCCCCCTTTGCACAGCTCTCTGGTCCATTTCACCGCCCTCCCACCCCCTCTCCTGGAAACTTCATGCCCACACTGCTGATTCCTGTGGCTTACCTCCTTCTCCCTTGTTCTTTCAGGGTTGGCATAGCTACCTACAGGTCTACTCTTCCT